GGAGGCCGTACACACTGTTTCTGACCTGTTGTTGGAGACAGGGGGCTGGAATGAAGCTGTGATTCGGAGCACGCTCATCGCTTCAGATGCCAATGCTATACTCAACATGCCAAGGCCAAGGGTGGCCATGGAGGATTTTTGGTCATGGGTATTTGAAAGATCCGGACTGTTTACTGTTCGCTCGGCGTACAGGCTTCTTATAGGGGGGCGAGGTATTGAAGGAGAGCAACCAAGCTCCTCGCTTCAGGAACCAGAGGTTTGGAAAGCATTGTGGAAGCTGAATGTGCAACCGAAAATCAGAATTTTCTGGTGGAGAGTTCTGAAGGACTTTCTACCATCCAAAGGAGAGCTTACTCGGCGACACATAGGTGACAGGGCGTTTTGTCCAATGTGTGGACATGATAATGAAACCCTATACCATGCACTACTTGCATGTGACCACGCGAAGCTTTTCTGGAGAAAGGCCACTGACTATTTTGATCTCAAGGTCCCGCATCTACATCCAGTAACTTGGTCACGGGACATACTTGATACTTCCTTTCTAAGCAAGGATAGGGCAGCAGTGGCAGTGTCAGTCATGTGGGCGATATGGAGCAGTAGAAATAAATATGCCCACGATGAAGTGAAGTACCAGCCAGGGAAATCAATGATTTTGATCTAGGAGCTCATTCAGGGACTGTATATGCCAAGCCAGAAGAGGGATGAGGGGAGGAATGAGAAGGCTAAATGGAAACCGTGGAGGAAGGGTGGGTTAAGATTAACACAGATGCTGCCATTGACAACATAGCTGGTGTGGCGGCAACCGGGGTGGTGGCCCAGGACCATGGTGGACGGGTTGTCGTTGCTCGCACGACAAAGATCCCACAGATGACAGATGCTTATGCGGCTGAACTGTTGGCTGTTCGAGATGCTTCAGCCTTAGCAGCAGAAAAAGGATGGCAGAAGGTGGTGATAGAAACAGATTGCCAAACAATCTGTGAAGAGTGGAGGACTGGAGGCTTTCGTTCAGTTGGAGGCCACGTGCTGCGAGAGATCAACTTTTTTCTCGCAGATTTGCAGGGGTCTGACATCATTTATACTCGACGAGTGCTAATGAGGCTGCTCATTGGTGTGCTAAATATGGTATTTCTAGTGATTCGAGTGTACGAGTCTTGGATGTAATCCCTGTACCCTTGATTGCCATTGTGCAATCCGATGTATACCGCCAGAATGATGAATAAAGTTGCCTAGCAGGGCAGTTCTCAAAAAAGAAAGGAGTGATTAATTAGGAGTTTAGGATATTGGTTTGTACGTGCCATGGAACTGCATACGTGTTGAAGCCTTGAAAATAGTTATTGACGTCTGATCTTGCTTCACTTTTGTGGCTGAGCCGGCGGGCTAGCTAGCTAGGATCATCTCTGTTTGCATATCTCAGGAGATCATGCTACGTCGTGGTTGCGTTGGGCCAAGGTAAGCCTGATTTGACACATACGGTGCGATGCATGCTCTGGCCGAAATGGATCAGCAAGATCTTCCCCGAAACATACCAACGAGATTCTTCCAAATGATGCATCGTGTTCGTTGTATGACATATCTCAGGTCGAGTCCCAGGCCAATGCACTAATTTAACTCACCGGATTTTGTGTTTTGTTTCACCATCAACCAAGGAATATATAGAGCACATGGTGCTATATAGTACTTCCTCTGTAAAGAAATATAGCAGCGTTTAGATCACCTCTTATTTATCTTTAGAGAGGAAGTACCACCGCTTATTATCTATCCAAAACAAAAACAAAAAAATCATCGAAAACAACCCGAAAGCGAGCGCACCATGAGCGTCTCCACGATTCCTTTAGTCTCCACAGTCTCAATCTTCCTAAAAACACATCACTCATGGGCCGGCCCTAGGCCATGACAAAAGGTGCGGTTGGCTAGGGAACATGTTAAATAAGGGCCCAATACAGTTACACATGTAAATAAATTACATTATGTGATTTGCAGAACATATGCCATCAAGTGTGTAGGGGGCATCCCCCCCTCCCCTCATTTCACCATAGTTGTAGCAGACATACTTGAAGCAAATGATGCAAAAGATGTGTTTTGCTTGCCGGTGAGTGGACTGGATTATGACGTGCGTCACTTGACGAGATATTCAATTAAATTCAATGGAACCCTGTTGATTCATTCGGACCGACGCGCGGGCAAGGCGATCTCTTCTGCCTGTTTTCATCTTGTTTGTTGCTGACAGCCCATCTGCATTGTTGAAGGACGGTGAGGAACTGGGCAGATTTACCCCACCTCCCATCCCTAAACATATTAGGCGTGCGCGGTTGCAACTGGCCAGTTTAAAACCCAGCCAAATGTAGCATCATGTTTGGCGAATCATATACAGTGGCACATCAGACCAAGGTGCGGTCAGTATTGCATGCTACGGCCGAAAAGGATCAGCAAGATCTTCCGCTTTCGAAACATATCAACGAGATTGTTCCAAATGCTGCATCGTGTTCGTCGTAACACATCTCCGGCCAAATCCCATGCCAAAGCACTAATTTAACTCGTCTTATTTTGTGTTTGTTCCAAATCAACCAAGGGATATGTAGAGCAGATGGTGCCATATATAGTATTGTTTATTATTTCTCCAAATTCAGATGCGATCATATTCACGTGCACGCAATCAACCGAAGAATCAACAATTAAAATCACCAACTCTTCAATTATATGCTTTCTAGAAAATTGCACTGCAATTATGAGAGTATTATGGACAAAAGCAATATATGATTTGGAGATCCACGGCCACAGTTATACGGACAGAGCTCTGTATGATTGGAGATCTGTCTGAAACTAAATTTTAGGACTGTCTGGCCCGCTCTCAACAACAACCAAAGGGACGCCTCCCGTCGATGGCCTTTACTTAATCAGTAGGCCATCTGATCATCAACCACCGTGAGTGATGCAGCACACGGAGTCAGGCAATGGCGGGTCGGGCCGGCACACGACGAGCTGTTCCAAATCCAGACAATCGACACGGTGCGGCCAGAACCGAAAACAAAAACAACCCTAGTAGCCCCTGCCCCAAAGCGCAGAGTACGCCAACTGTCGCGGCCGGTCGGCCGTGGTGAGTCACGCACTCTCCAAGTCCGTGACACACAGTGAGGTCGACCATGCGCGCCGCGTCCATAAGGGCATGTACAATGGTGCTATCTTAGAAGTGCCATGTATGATAAATACTGAGGTGAAGGAGAGAGAATTTATAAGAAAAGACTTGTCTTCTCTTATTTAAGATAAGACAAGAGATGATATCTTAGCACAATATGTGTCATCACGTTTTTAGGAATAACTAGTTATGAAGATAAGGCTAAAAAATAATCCATTGTAGACATCCTTTTTTGTCATCTCTTAATTACATGCAATATCTAAGATAAGACTATCTTATCAACCATTGTACATTGCCCTAAGCGTGGGCGCGCATGTGGGCAGCACATGTTCGTGCTTTGTACCGTTGCCCTGACCTAAATCTGCAGTCTAGTTAGGAAAAAGAGCACAAGATACGTCCCTCACTGCGTGTGAATGGCTGGGTTATGCCCACTGACGCACTGATCACAGTGTTTAACACAGCGGAAATACGCGTCTGCACGCATGCATGGCTGTAATTAAGGAAGCCTGTACTAATTAAATCTGCGAGGATTAGCTAAGGTTTAACCGACGCGGAGTAGCAAGGACGGCCTGATGATGAGACGATCACGATCTTTAGACACCCGGCCGTTCACAGCAAAAATACGGAAGGAAGGACAAAAGGCAGGAAAAAGAAGGGAAAGAGAGACGGACGGCGGGACGGGCAGTGAAAGAGACGGCACGTCTCATCGTTCGGTCGACCAGAATACAATACAAGGACAGCCAGATGCAGCACAGTAGCGATGAGATGAGATGAGAGCATCTTATCGCGGCGGAACCGGCCGGCTCCACGATCCCTTCCTTCCTTCCCGCGGAATCCGCAATGCCACTGTGTGGAGCGTTCAGAGGTCGGCCGCGTTTCAAGCAAAGCGGGGGCGATCCCACGGCCGGCGGCTAGGGTCCGGTCGCTGCGGCGTCACGTTGATCAGGTCCTTCAGCCCCCTGAACGTTGGAGGATGACTTCCTCTTTCTTTTTTCTGGGACCGTCCTTTCAGTGTGACAGCAACGTGCAATTGTCGAAGAAACATGGGAAGGGTCCTGCTCCTCGCACAACCGGTGGGCGGCTGCACGCAGGAATTGGATCGGCATTGCTCCTAATAACACGCTTGTAATGAATTGAAACTTACGCATCAGTGCTGTTCACACGGAAACCGTTCTTATGTTAAGATATTTCTGTATGAAGAGTAGCGACATATTTTGTGTCCATTTAAAAAAAAGAGAGTACGGGTATGTGGTGCAAGAAATTAACCAGCACTTTGACACGCAAAATATTTAGAGAAAGTTGGCATGAGGACTAGCCACAATGCATAGTAACATACACATATCCCTAGACTATGTTACTACTTTCATAGTGGGTAGTAACATAAGTGTGGTAACATGCAAAACTTTATTTATTAGGTTATAGACTTATATTGCATTGGGACATGTGATGTTACAGTAACTAGCTAAGTTACTGTAACTACCTCTCTCCTCATTAACTCATTGCCACATAAGCAAATTTGCTGAATTAGACTCGATGTTACTGCTGAAGTTACTCCCACTGTGGCTAGTCTGAGTCCTTAGAATATTGAGAAGCTGACCTACCTGCCTTGAATCCTGAATCCCGGACCGTTTCCGGTGTGCTGCCGTCCGGCCCCACGGCACAGCGACCCACAACGCCCACTGGTTTATGCCCACAGCCCCGGTTAGTTAACTCGACCAAACTCCCCGCCCACTGAAGCTCGGAGTCCTCTATAAATTCCGGCCCACCCGCTTCTCTCAGGTTCACTCCCGACTCAAGCGACGCCATAATCTCCATCCCCTCCACGCACCCCATTCCAACTGCTCCCGCTCCTCGATCTCCCTCTCTCATGGCGACAGCAGCCACAAGTCGGCCCAGCGGCCCGGTGCTGTCCATACCCAGCTACCGCTCCGCCTCGCCCACCCGCGTCAAGCTTCCCGCCGGTGGCAGCGGCGCCAACCGCTCCACGGGCAAGTCCGTCAGCGTCTCGTCCCCGTCCTCCACCACCACAAGCCGGCGGTCCTGCATGTGCTCCTCGACGAACCACCCGGGCTCGTTCCGGTGCAGCCTCCACAAGGAGCGCAACCAGGCGGCCCCCGCCGGGAGCAGCAAGCCCGCCTCCCCGCCGTCCGTCCGCAGCGCCTGCAATCTGGGCTCGAAGCGCATGGACAGCGCTCAGTGTGCCCGCAGGGCGCTCGCGCCTCCCCCCTCTGCGCAGCAGTCGCAGCAGCACCGGAGGCGCGCGGGCGGGTTCCGCCCCAGGCCCAGCAGACTCTCCGCCGTCTCCACGGCCGGCGAGCGTCCCATCAACAAGTACCAGTAAACAAATCAACGTCGACATGCCATAGCAAGATGCAAGATACAGTTAGATGTTTCTGAGTTTTGACCCAATTTGATCCCGATCTGATCCATTTTGCTACCTCCTCTCTTGTGTAATCTGTACATAGAGTGAGCTCGTCCTGTGCTCTCCGTGGTGTAAAACGAACGCCCTTGATGTTCGATATAACTACATGAGCGGGTTATAAATTGAGACACATGGTTCATGCATCTAATTCTTTGACCCGTGGCGGGAGGCTTATCCGTCCTTTGATGATTTGTTTGGCGCAACACAGTTCTGCTTCTGCTTCTGTTTCCGTTTCTGGACCCTGTTTGGGTTTCGGATAAGCTCCGCGTGAGATCGGTGGCGTCTCGCCGTCGCTTGCTCCGGTCACGCCGTACCCGTGAGCGCCCCTGGCCGAACGGATCAGGCGAGGCGAAACACGCACGCGGCGGTTCCGGCGAGATTTCTGTAGAATTTTCATGATCGAATCGATGAACGAACTGAGATTTTTCTTCTTCCTAGTTGTGATATTTTACTGTTGGCTCGACGGACGGCGTAGCGGTTGGGATTCTCTCCAATTTCTGAACTTGCGCAAGAAGATGATGGTCGGGTCGCACAGCTGGCTACCTTCTTGTTTAATCAGTTATGTTTCTTGGCCGGAAACGAGTTGCTCGCCACACCAGTACTTGTCAGTTTGCTCTCATCTCCCTATCAAATACGGTGTTTCTTTTGCTTAACGATCCGAATACTGATCATACATTGTACCGGCGCAGACACACACAAAAATCATCTCTAGCATCTTCTGTTCAGAACCGCTGTCTGTGTAGGACTGTAGGTACACTGGATGCGTTGGCTAGCTGCTAAGCAAACAAATCAAGTGGGGTTGATGATGAATATCTGACGAGTTGGTAGTACGTTCTAACGAACTCGTAAAATATCCATTTTTCTAACCAGATATTCTGAAATGTCAGCGTCGCCCGACTTGGTCGCGCGCGCGGACGCAAAATGCCACGGACGTGGGCAGAAGAAACTCTCTTGCCGGCGCACCAGGGCATGATGGAGTCAGTGCAGAGTCACCCGGGCTGGACGATCTGCCTGGCACGGAACCTGGAGAAGTTCAGTAACACCTGACCGGGCAGGCAATCCATGGCTACGCACTGCGTTTTTCCAGTGTCCAGTGTTCAGGTAGGACGCGAGGGCGACCGATAGGCCTGCCGGGGAAAAAGGTTCAGAATCAGTAAGCCGCCGGTAAACGCCATGCGCGGGAGGCAATGTACCGGCCGGGAGCTAGTGGCGCCGCCAGTGAATCAGCTTAATCATCCATGGATGATTTGTTTGCCGCAACAACCTTCTGCTTCTGGAGTGTGGGCACATCTTGCCCCTGTTTCGGCTTTGGATAAGCTCCTCGGTGGCGTCTCGCCGTCGCTTTCTCCCATCATGCGGCGCCTGTGGAGCTCCCAGCAGGCCGGATCAGGCTAGAGCACGGCAGAAATCCCCCGATTCCGACGACATTTCCGTTGAGTTCACGAATTGGGCCTGGGTCGAGGATTGGTTCTTCCTGCTTGTTACTGTATATTTTTCTTCTTTCTGTTTTGGGAACTTTGGACAGCCCCTCCAACTCTTGAACCTGCGCAACAAGATGATGTTGGGAGAACGGTGGGCGCGCGCACAGCTGGCCAGCTTCTTGTTAGTTATTGAAGGCGATACACAATTAGTTGTGTTTCTTGGCCAGAAATCATTTGCCGGGCACATCAATGCCTACCACCTATTGGATTGGCGCCATGTCTCTCAGTTGGCTCTCGTCGCTGTATCAAATAAAGTGCCTGCGGTGCTCCTTTTTCTGAACGAATATTTTCAGATGAAGGAACATAAAAAATGTGTGGCTAGATCTCAATCGACGGAGATTAAACCAAGTCTCAGTTAAGTGACATATTATATAAAAAAAGGAAAAACTAAAAAAAAGAGTTTGTACAGATCTCAATGCAAGATGAAAGGAATATAGCATCGACTGAAAGTAATATTAAGATGAAACAGCTACCTCCCAAGTTGACTAGTTTAACTAACAAACTTGTTGAATATCGGACCAGTTGGTATTTGCCAATACAACTACCAGCAACAAACTCCTCAAATATTCAACGGGCATTTGTTAACAAGGAAGCTCTGGAACGTCAACGTCGACGGCCGAGCAGGTCAACAGAACGCATGACCCCTGGGAATAACTTGATCGCCGGGCTCGGTCAGACGCATAGTTGGACACTTGGACTTGGCATTTCCAAAGGAAGGTCAGTTTCTCTTGCCACTGACACGACACTCGCTTCAGGGACTCTCTTTGCCCGAGCACCAGGGCACGATCGAGTCACTGCACACTCACTCGACCTGGAATTATTCCCAAGTCCTCCACTGCCACTACACGGTCACTCGACCTTCGTTGGTCCGGGTAGGACGCGAGTGTGACCTTCGACTTGTTCGGAATTATTGCCGGCTTATTTTTTTTAAAAACGGAGGCAAAAGATTTGCCTCATGTATTAATTAAGATAAGAAAAAAGTTTGTTACAGAAGTCACTCTTACACGGCATGACTGATTACTCGCGTAAAATAATAGCCCCTAATTTCTTTGCTCCGGCAGTGACCCAAAGGTTTGCCTCGCAAACGATGAAGTTGAGCAAGATTGATCGAGGAGCGCTCTTCTGTCGAAAAAATACGGGCATTCCTCTCGTTCCAAATGGTCCATGACACGAGCATGGTAAGGAGGCCATAGCCTTTCTATTGGGGACTCCGGCACCGGTTCTATTTTGTCCACCACTCCTTTACCGAATCATGTAGCTGCCAAGTATTAGTGTCCAAGTGGTGAATGCCAAATTTCGCGATGAGCGAGTTCCATAGCCGAATGGTGTAGCGGCATTTGAAGAAGAGATATGGTCCACTTTCTTGATCTCTCTTGCAAAGAGTGCAAAGCCCGCAGTTTGGCCATCCCCGCTTTGCAAGCCTATCTGTGGTCCAAATTCTATTTTGGATAGCCAACCAAGCAAAGAATTTAGCCTTTGACGGCGCCCAAGCCTTTTAAATCATTTAATCCATGGGGGAGAGGACCAAGCCTAGAAATTGGGCCTTGTAGGCGGAGGCCATAGAGTAGTGCCCGCTTGTCGTGTGCTTCCACACAATGGTGTCTTCGGCATGTTCATCAAGGTGGATGTCGGTGTCAAAACCGGCGGATCTCGGGTAGGGGGTCCCGAACTGTGCGTCTAGCCCGGATGGTAACAGGAGACAAGGGACACGAAGTTTTACCCAGGTTCGGGCCCTCTCGATGGAGGTAAAACCCTACGTCCTGCTTGATTAATATTGCTGATATGAGTAGTACAAGAGTAGATCTACCACGATATCGAGGAGGCTGAACCCTAGAAGCTAGCCTATGGTATGATTATGGATGTGTATGTTGTCCTACGGACTAAAACCCTCCGGTTTATATAGACACTAGATAGGGTTAGGGCTACATAGAGTCGGTTACAATGGTAGGAGATCTTCATATCCGTATCGCCAAGCTTGCCTTCCACGCCAAGGAAAGTCCCTTCCGGACACGGGACGGAGTCTTCAATCTTGCATTTTCATAGTCCAGGAGTCCGGGTGAAGGTATAGTCCGGCCATCCGGACACCCCCTAATTCAGGACTCCCTCAGTAGCCCCTGAACCAGGCTTCAATGACGACGAGTCCGGCGCGCATATTGTCTTCGGCATTGCAAGACGGGTTCCTCCTCCAAGTACTTCATAGAAGATTTTGAACACAAAGATAGTGTCCGGCTCTGAAAAATAAGTTTCCACATATTGCCATAGAGAGAATAATATTTACACAAATCTAATCTGCTGACGTATTCCATAGTGTGACATCACACCACGGCCAAGCTTTTATTCGAACCGTTTTACTGTCCCATCTCAGCGTGTTATGCGAGGCGGTTTCCTTGGCACGTCTTGTTAAAGCAGAGATCGTGTCCCCTTATTTCGGGATTCTCATCAATACGGGTGTGGGTAACCCAACCGCGCCATCGATTACGGCGCTTGGAGATAAGCGAGTTTTATCAGGCTGGTGGGGACATGTAGCTGCGTCCACCCATATAAGGGGATAAAGATCCACCTTTTCACCTACGCCTTCTTCCTCTTTCGCCTATCCATTCTTGCGCACTCGAGCTCCAGCGCCCAAGTCCGCACTCCCCACCTCAACCTTTTCCAGCCATGTCCGGAGCGGGAGGCAAGTGGATGGTCTCCTCCGTCACGGAGGGACATATCAAAAAGCTGAGGAAGGCCGGATACCTGTCTAACGACATCGCGTACCGGCTCCCCGAAAAGGGGCAGCTCATCCCCACTCCTAGGCCCCATGAGAGGGTGGTGTTTCTCCCCCATTTCCTCCGTGGACTGGGCTTCCCTCTCCACCCATTTGTCCGAGGGCTCATGTTCTACTACGTCCTGGATTTCCACGATCTGGCCCCGAACTTCGTCCTCAACATCTCGGCGTTTATCATCGTGTGCAAGGCCTTCCTCCGCACCCGCCACCATTTCGGCCTATGGCTAAAGACTTTCAACGTCAAGCCAAAGGTGGTGCGCGGCAGCCAAGCGGAGTGCGGAGGCGCCATGGTGGGCAAGATGGACAACGTCCTCTGGCTCGAGGGCTCCTTTTGTGGAGACCCTGAAGGGGTGGCAATCGGGGTGGTTTTACATGACCGAGCCGCGCGACGCCGAATGGGTCGCACCCCCCGAATTCCGATCCGGACCCCCAACGCGGCTCACGTCCTGGAAAGAGACGGGCCTGTCATGGGGTAAAAAAGGAGAGCTAACCAGACTCCAAACATGCGTCAAAACCCTGGTGGACAAGAAGCTCAAACTTGTCAGCGTAGTCCAGGTTATGCTCATCCGCTTGATCCTCCCATGCCAACAACGGGCTTTCAACCTGTGGGAGTTCGACCCTGCGCGGCACCAAACTCTTAACAGGCTCTTCGACACGACGTACGAAGTGTT